TCCTTACCCTCAGTGCTGACAGCGCCAAAGGCAGGCGCCTCCTACCATCCCAGCACCTCAGCCACGGCTCCTGTGGAGCGCAGAGGCAGGGACCCTCCCACAGGGCACCTACAAACGGCCTGTGACACCGGGGAAAGCAAAACAGAAGTCAGTGCATGCTTCTGAGCACAGATCACGCTCAGCAGGGTCACAGCCCAGGGAGCAGCAGCAGCAATTCTTAAGTTAGGATGACATCTCAGTGGCCCCTCAGCCTGACTCTCCTTGACACACGGTACTCACTCTTTGACCAGCCGCTCTCCCCACCTGACCTGGCTACCTTCACTAACAGCGAGCCTGATATGCAGCAGCAGGCGGAGTTCTCCCCACCTGCCTCTCCTCCTCCACCAGAACCTTTTGTGCCTTAGGTCACGGCTCACAACCACCAGCCTCAGTTTCCCTACTTCACCCCCCCGTGGGCGGCACCTAACTTCTCTTATCCCATGCCTTGGCCTCAGTGGTACCCTTGGCCAGCTCCTGCTGCCACTCGTCCTCATGCTGCTTCCACCAGATCACAAGCTTCTTCTGCGCCTCTATCTCCAGCTCCGTTTACTTCTAGAGCGCCTGACCACCCCCCTCCCCCCCCGAAGAGGTGGGCTATGGACCATACCCCGATTCACTGACCCTTAACTCTCCATCAGCTCCAGACAGATCCCTCATGCCTCCACCTCCACAGAATGTGGACAACTTTAAACAATTCCAAGAACTTTTTAAGAGGGTGGCACTCAGCCAGGTCCCTTTAGAGGAGGTCCAGGAGACACAACACGGACTCCTCAAAATCCTCCGACCCTCTGTGCCCTCAAAGATTGTGCTCCCCATAAATGAAACACTCCTAGAACCAGCTGATACCCTCTGGCAGACTCCAGCCTCTATCCCACCAACTTGCAAAAAGGCTGAACGTAAAATTATGTTCCTGCTAAGGACATAAACATCTTATTTTCCCGTCCATAACCGAATTCTCTTGTAGTGAATGCAGCGACAGACAGGATGAAACAGCCGCACTACTGGCCCACACCGCAAGACAAGGACCTCAAACGCCTTGACCTCTTGGGCCACAAGGTCTATACCTCCTCCACCCTGCAATTCGGAATTGCAAACTATTCCGCCCTACTTGCAAGCTACGACTTTGACAATTACAATAAACTCTTTAATTTTACCTCCCATATCCCGGAGGACAGGAAAGCAGACTTTGTCAGTCCTTGTCGAGGGCCAATTGGTCTCCAGAACAGCCCTACAAGCATCTCTAGACATGGCAGATACAGCAGCCCGCACTACCGCAACTGCGGTGGTTATCCGCAGATCTTCCTGGCTGTCTGCATCCAGTATCCCCAAAGACCTGCAGACCAAAGTGGAGGACCTCCCCTTTGATAAAGATAAGCTTTTTTCCAAAAAAAAACCCCAAACCAAAAAACGACAAAGTCCTTCAGACTATGAAAGACTCTAGAGCGACCCTGCGCACCCTGGACATTTACCCATCCCTTCCCAGGAGACAACAGTATCAACCTTATCAGAGGCCACGCACACAACAATATCACCGGCCCCAGCCCAGACCATACGATATAGCCAGGAATTGCGCTAGACCTCCTAGGCACAGACAAAACCAAGCTCAACCAGCTACCTCCCACCCATCGGGAAACAAACAACAATTTTGAAGCGTTGGTCAAGGGTCTGCACGACCACCCCTTGATTCTACCGCCTATTTGCCCATTTGGCCACCGCCTCCAGGTTTTCCACCATGCCTGGCAGCAGATCACACAGGACCGTTGGGTCCTGGAAATAGTTCAGGCTGGTTACTCCATCCCTTTTATATCCTACCCTTCTCTGTTCCCCGTCCCTCTTCAGGGACCCCTCTCACGAGCACCTACTTCGCGTAGAAGTGGCTCATCTTCTACAGCTAGGTGCAGTGGAACCTGTGCCGACACAACATCGAGGAGAAGGGTTCTACGCCCACTACTTTCTGACCCAAAAAAAGAGTGGGAGATGGAGGCCTATACTAGACCTACGCCGACTGAACAAATTCGTGTGTGTACAGAAATTCAAGATGGTCACACTGGGCACAATAATACCCGTGCTGGAACAAGGGGACTGGTTCACAGCCCTCAACCTACAGGATGCCTGTTTTCACATACCCATTCATCCAGCCCACAGACGCTTCTTGCGATTCGCACTAGGACACAACCATTTTTAGTGCTGTGGAGAGTCCCTTTCGGACTCTCCACAGCACTGAGAGTATTCTCCAAGACCCTAGCCGTAGTCGTGGCCCAACTCCGCAGACACGGGATCATACTTTTCCCCTACCTAGACAATTGCCTCATCAAAGGTAACTCATACGACAAGACATTACAAGCTACCCATTTCGCCATCTCCCTCTTCCACAGCTTATGTCTGCAAATAAACTTCCAAAAATCCACCCTGACACCTACACAGCGGATCGAATTCATCGGAGCTCACCTGGACTCAATCCAAACCAGAGCCTCACTCCCACACAATAGATTCCTCGCTATTACACATCTCATACATACGCTCTCCGTTCGTCCCAGGATACAGGCAAGAATTTGCCTACAGCTCCTTAGCCACATGGCAGCCACCACCTTCGTGGTCAAGTACGCCAGGCTGCACATGAGATGTCTTCAGGGTTGGCTCAGCTCCAACTACAAACCCAGCAGACACAGCTTCTGCATGATGCTAACTCTTCCAGCGAACGTACTAGCTTCCCTACAATGGTGGACAAGACCAGAGAACCTCTGCAAGGGCGTTCCCTTCCAGCAACGCTCCCCATGCTCGCCACAGACACTTCCCTGATCGGTTGGGGAGTGCATCTGGGGGGACACATGGCACAGGGCCGCTGGTCCCTGCCAGAGATGCGTCTGCACATAAATCTCCTAGCGCTCAGAGCAGTGAGACAAGCCTGCCTTCGCTTTCTCCCCATCATAAGAACAAATCTATCCAGGTGCTAGCAGACAATATAGGATGTATGTTTTACATCAACAGACGAGGGGAGCACGATCACACTCCCTATGCATGAAGGCCATCCGGTTATGGAATTGGTGCATACAACACCACATAGAAATTACCGCTTCATACCTACCCAGATCTCACAACACTACCGCCGACACACTAAGCAGACACTTCTCCAAAGAACACAAATGGGAATTACATCCCACGATACAACAGCAGCTCTTCTCCCACTGGGGCACCTCGTCGATAGACCTCTTTGCCACAACCCAGAATCGCAAATGCCACCTATTTTGCTCCAAAGTGGGATTTGGGACTGCATCCCTAGGAGACGCTTTCCTCATCCTATGGAACAACTCTTCATGTACGCTTTTCCACCGATCCCTCTGATACACAGGGTTCTATGCAAGATCAGCGACGATAAGGCCCGGGTCATACTTATTGCCCCAGCTTGGCCAAGACAGACATGGTATCCTTACTTGCTCCGCATGTCCATCCGTCCTCCACGGACTCTCCCCAACAGACCAGATCTGCTTTCTCAGGACAACGGCCGGCTTCTTCACCCGCAGCTCCAGAAACTCCACCTGATGGCATGGTTCCTTCATGGTTCCAGACCCATGAACTAGCCTGTTCTGAGCAAGTCCGGTATGTCCTGCTGCATAGTAGAAAAGACTCCACCCGTAAGACTTACCTGCAAAAGTGGAAACGCTTCTCCGTGTGGTGCTCCCATAAATACTTGACACCCCATACCGTGACCCTCCCTAACATCCTAGACTACCTTTTGAAACTAAAACAGGACAGGCTCTCGCTCAGCTCCATCAGAGTACACCTCGCAGCCCTCACCACCTTCCATGATTTGCTGGACAGATATTCCCTCTTTGACCACCCCACAATAAAAGGCTTTCTCACGGGCCTGCAAAACCTCTACCTTGAGATTTATCCATCAGCAACTGCCTGGAATCTCAGTCTAGTTCTTTGGGTCTTATGAAAACTCCCTTCGAGCCCTTGGCTACCTCATCTCTTCTCCACATGTCTATGAAGGTAGCTTTCTTGGTTGCTATAATGTTAGCAAGGAGAGTAGGGGAAATAAGCACCCTGGTGGCCTACCCTCCCTACACAACCTTCTCTAAAGATAAAGTTACCCTGCGACCACACCCTAAATTTCTCCTTAAGGTGGTGTCCACCTTAACCAACCAATATACTTACCTGCATTCTATCCCAAACCTCATGAGACTCCGCATGAAGCGGCTCTACATACCCTCAACGTCAGACGAGCAATCGCCTTTTATCTAGACAGGACTAAACCATTTTGTGAGTCCCCACAGCTTTTTGTCTCCACTACCAAGAGATTGAAGGGTGCGGCTATCTCTAAGGGTAGGTCTACACTTACCTGGTAGTTCGGCGGCAAGAAAATAGAACTTCTGGGTTCGACTTATTCTTGTCTGGACGCGATAAGTCGAACCCGGAAGTGCTCGCCGTCGACTGCGGTACTCCAGCTCGGCGAGAGGAGTACGCGAAGTCGACGGGGGAGCCTGCCTGCCGCGTCTGGACCGAGGTAAGTTTGAACTAAGGTACTTCGAACTTCAGCTACGTTATTCACGTAGCTGAAGTTGCGTACCTTAGTTCGAATTGGGGGGGGATGCATTTGTCCATCTCCAGGGTTAGTGTAGACCTGCCTTAAGCAACGGCTTTCCAAGTGGATCTCTGACTTCATCAGATCCTGTTACCGCATTCAGAATGCCCAACCACCCGAAGGCATCAGAAGTCATTCTACTCGAGCTATGTCAACATACGTTGCCTTCCTCCATAATGTACCCGTTCCTGATATCTGTAAGGCGGCCACGTGGACATCTGAACGCACATTTACCAAACGTTATGCTATCATGCAGGATACCACGGCAGACACCATAGTAGGCCACACAGTACTGTCTACAGTCATCATTGCCGCAACTCCAAAGTCCCACCAGCCATAGTGGGTATTGCTTCACGTTCACCTGGAGTGGAGCACCCACAGGGACAGCACTCGAAGAAGAAGAGAAGGTTACTCCCTGCTCAGTTGATATTGGTGATGCCTTCCAGAAGATGCTGAGGATGGATAGATAGATAGATAGATTTAAATCACATGCCCCAGATTCAAGAGGAGAGAACCAGTAATATTTTACTTCCTTTAAAGGAATTATAGTATCTGATTTCAAAGTCATTCACTGCAACCTTTGTATTGTGGGGGTTTTAACTGTTACTTTGCTTTTCTTTCCTGCTACAGCAAAGTGCAAGATTTGTGAATGGGCATTTGAGAGTGAGCCAATGTTCTTGCAGCATATGAAGGATACCCACAAGCCTGGAGAAATGCCCTACGTTTGTCAGGTATTACACACATTTTAAACTCAGTGCTTTAAACTGTTTCTATGAAGTCCAGGAGGAGGTCTGGAACTTTCCAACAAATCACTTAAGTAGGTGATTAGTCCCATTGGAGTCAGTGCTGAGGGAGCAAACACTAGTAGTTTGCATTGAGGGCCTGGAGATGGGTGCCTTTTCAGGAAAGAGAAGCTGTCACTCTAGAGGAGAAGATAAGGCTCTGTCACTCACTCACTACATCCCTAGTTGCTGTCTAAGCCTGAGATCAGTGCTTGCATCCACTTGCAAGATGCTACCCTCCATAAATTGGCCCCGCTGCTGCCTGTCCAATGGGAGAAGGAGAAGAATAAGAAACTTCTAAAATGTAACCTTTTTCAGTGTGACATAGGGCCTGAGTGACTTGCTTTTCAGTAACTACCTATTATTCCTGATTGCATTGTTACTCCCTCTCTTCTTTTTAGATTGGATGGATAGTGTCATTAACTGCTAATTTTATAACCATCTGAAAGAACAGAATTCTCAGGAGAGATCTGTTCTTAGAACTATTAATTTTAAGAGTATAGTAGTCTCTTTAAAAAAATCCAAGTGTCTTATTTTTATTCTTTATGGGTATCCCCCAGTAAACCCTGATGTTCCCCCTGACTCCTCAAGATACCTCTCTCTTCTTGTAGCCCTGTATTCCGAGTGATGAAGACTGCATAAGATTGACTTCCTTTCAGAGCTCATTACTTCTCAGGTGCTCAGGAATCTACCTAGATTGACCAGCCCCATTTTTAACTGAGAGAGATCACTCACTGTTAGGTCTCACTTCCTGTTAGATCTCCCTTCCTGCTTACTTCAGATAAGCCCTGGTTCATTCAGTAACTTAAAGGGGGTGTAGGTTAGCAGCTGCTTAGATGCTTCAGTGAAAGTAACCATATACTATAGTGATAGATGTGATATAAATTCCTAGATTACTTTCATGTTAATTGTTTGCATTTGTCCATCCCCAGGTCTGTCAATATCGTTCGTCGCTTTACTCTGAAGTGGATAGCCATTTCCGAATGATCCACGAGGACACACGGCACCTGCTCTGTCCTTATTGCCTGAAAGTCTTTAAGAATGGCAATGCCTTCCAGCAGCATTTCATGAGGCACCAGGTAACCCAAGTACGGAGTTAGATTTACAATCTTTGCAAAGTTTTGGTTAAAATGATTCACTTTTCACAGAGAATTCAGTGGGAGTGGAGCACATGCTTAAAGCTGAATCAGGGCCTAAAAAAAAACACACACACACACACATACGATTGCCTTAGCACAAATAACTATTTAATGTGAGAAATCATGTGTGTTCCCTGTCGGTATTTGTTTCCAAGTTGTAATTGTTGGTGGGTGATATCAGCCCTTTATCCTTCTGGGTGAAAAGTTCAGATTCCAGAAAATAAATTCCATCCCACAGACCACATTTTTTACAGACGTTGGGAAGCTCTATTTCCATATCTATTGCCTTAGAATGGTGACCTCTTTTAAGTGTGAGTAGTTCTAAGTTCTAAATTGTGTAAAGTTAGTGCTTTTGGCAAGTGGCAGATTGACAACCCTGGAAGCCCTCAGTTTACCCACAGAACAGGTATAGGGTAGGCATTGGAAAGGCAAGCAGCTTCCACGTGCTGCTCTGCCAGTGTGCCTCAGCCGTGACTCGGAGAAAACCCCCTCTAGGAGAAAGAGAAGAGTTTATTTTTCTTGATCCTGCAGTTGTTGGTGCCTCTGCTGATAAAGGGACCAATTGCCGGGGTGAAGGTGATTTTATGATGTGGACACTTTACCCACTGGAAACTGAACAAAGACCACCAGTAACTACTTTTAATACAGTATTTTCAGATGCCCCCTAAACTTGGCTGGACTTGAGATCAAGGGGATAAAAGGAAGAGAAGCCATTCTTTTGGTTTCTTTAAATAAATAAAATAAACCACCCAAGAACCTTCCCTTTTTGCCTCCACTCTCCAAAATTAAATCTATTTCATTTTTATTTTGCTTTAGAAGAAGAGTGTTTATCACTGTAACAAGTGTCGTCTGCAATTCCTATTTGCCAAGGATAAAATTGAACACAAGCTGCAGCACCACAAAACTTTCCGAAAGCCCAAACAGCTAGAAGGACTGAAACCTGGAACCAAGGTAAGGGATCCAAGCTAGACAGCAGCCCTCGCTCCTCCTCCTACATTTTCTCAGAAGTGTATCAACAGTATCAATATGTACTTCCTAAAAATTCCAGCAGCATTTTTCTACTGGTTTTTACTAGATGCCATAAAACAGGTGTTTGCAGAATGTGCATCATTTCAAATCTACACCTGTTGGAACAGACTGATTCCACCTGCCATTCCATGTTAAATTGAGCAGACCATTGCAAAGCTGAGGAGCAGAGATCAGGAGTGGGGCAGCACGTGTCTTAAGATATGCAAAACTGAGGTATAGCCTGTATCTGTCATTTGCTGCAGGTTACAATTAGAGCATCTAGAGGACAGCCGCGGACGGTGCCAGTATCTTCGAATGATGCGCCACAGGGCACCTTGCAGGAAGCCACTCCACTGACGACTTCCTCGGACCCCCAGCCCATCTTCCTGTACCCACCCGTCCAGAGGAACATCCAGAAGAGAGCAGTCAAGAAAATGTCAGAACTTCTTGCTAAGTTTCAAACTAAAAGGTTGTTAAAGAAAATGCAGTCAGCTATGTTATGCCACCATTGATGGCAGACTGCTCCTCGGCACTGTGCAGTTTCGGCTTGTTCACTGCCAGGAAGAACTATCATGCCAGGAGAAGCCAGCTTTCCACAAGACCAGGATTAAGTCAAATTATTAACAGTTTGGTTTTTTTTTTATTTTCTCTTTTGTGGGGTTTTCCCTGTAGAGAGCCCAGAGGAGCCTCTCTCTTTCTCTTCCCCCTCTCATACTGTCTTCCTTAGAGGTCCCACACTGCAGCCTTAATTTTTCTGGTTAAGGCAGTCCACTGCATTTGAGTACATGGCATAAAAGAGTGATTCCTTAACGAGGTGTCACAAATGGGGAAACTAAAGGCTAACACTAAGACAATCTATATAGCTAGGGCTGAAAGTATAGGTCAGAGGAGATTATTTTGACTGCATTTTTTTCTAGAAGTTTGCCTCTGTCAATGACAGTCTTCACTGTTTGCTGATTAGCTTTGTCTTTTGTGTCTGCCAGTCTGAAAGGGTTTGTAGTAACGGGAATTGTAACTCCACGAGGTATCTGTACAGCCACTGATGAGAATGTCCCCTTTCATCTGCAGGAGTGTCCTGGGGAGGCAGACGTGCTTGGAGTGCAGCTTCGAAATCCCAGATTTCCCAAACCACTTTCCTACCTACGTCCACTGTTCGCTGTGTCGTTATAGCACTTGCTGCTCCAGAGCTTATGCCAACCATATGATCAAGTAGGTATCAAAGGACTCTCTAGAAAAGCAAACCTCTGTAATACACTGGAAGCCCCCCTTAGATTGTCATTCTCTTTTACTGGGGCATCAGTAAATTCCAGTTCACTAGAAGTGGGTTATAGAGCAGTGTGCATGTGGTTTGAATCACTGCAGAGGGTGGTAATGGGTTTCTGTATACAGCAGTGAAGATGAGAGGAGAGAACAGTTGAGGGCAAATGCACACACGCACGCCTTGTAATGTGCCAGCCGCCTAGAAATGACCCGTCTAACCGTTGCACCTGCCCTCCCCATTCAAAATCAGGATTTGTTGATTCTGCTCTAGACCATTGGGCCTAAAAACCTCGCCAAGTTCTTAAGCATCAGTGACTGTGGCAAATAAGACATTACTAGGTGAGAACTGTCATTAACTGCCCTCTGGTGCAAATCGCTCAGAGGTGTGGGTTTCAGAGCAGGGATATTGCTGTCTTGCTCCTAAAACAGGTTCCAGTTTATAGTTAATTGAAAGATGTAGTTAATCTGTTATCTTGTGATCAAAAATGAGTCATGCTACATTTGCACAAGCCTACAGATCCTAGAAAACGATGGATGCAGCACAGTTGCCCCCAGAGCCGGGGTCAAGCAGTTTAATCAGGGATAGGAATCCCATTCCCCTGAAACCTTAATTGAAAGATAGGGAAACTTGCAACAGAATGATTCTAAAATAGGATCAGGTTTCTCTGAATAAGTGTGCAAGATTTTTTGTCTGGCTTAAGTATGCAGAATAATCCTGAGCCTCTAGTAAATATCTTTGTTTTTTATCTTACAGCAACCACGTTCCTCGGAAGAGTCCAAAATACTTGGCCTTGTTTAAAAACTATACTGCCTGGTAATGCCAAACTTGATTACATCTTATTTTAATTTCCTAACCATCTAAAGTGATTTATTTTCTGATCTTCTAACTCTGTCATCTTATGTAATTATCCACTTCTCAAGAAGATCCAATATTTTTTTTCTGTAATAGCAAAAAAGTGTTTAAACAGAGCACAAGATCCTGGGTCATACTTTACCTTTGATAACCTGCAACTCCTAATGACTTCTTAGGGCAGGTCTACACTACAGCCCGGATCGACGCTCTGAGATCGATCCACCGGTGGTCGATTTGGCGGGTCTAGTGAAGACCTGCGAAATCGACAGCATATCGCTCTCCAGTCGACCCCTGTACTCTATCCCCGAAGAGAAGAGTAAGGTAAGTCGATGGGAGAGTTTCTCCCGTCGACCCCCCGCGGTGTAGACCCCACGGTAACTCGACCTAAGGTACGTCAACTCCAGCTACGTTATTCACGTAGCTGAAGTTGTGTAACGTAGGTTGACTTACCGCGGTAGTGTAGACATAGCCTTACTGTGAGCTAACTTCATGTGGCACATAATGGGAAATGCACTTATGCCGTTGAAGGCAGAATTTGGTCATAAGAACGTAAGAATGGCCATACTAGGTCAGATCAATGATCTATCCCAGACCAGTATCCTGTCTTCCAATAGTGGTGAGTGCCAGAAGCTTCAGAAGAAGAAAACAGAACAAGGCACTGAGTGATCCACACCCTGTCATCCAGTCCCAGCTTCTTTTAGCACATCCAGAGTATGAGATTGCATCCCTGACCCTCTTAGTTAATAGCCATTGATGGATCTATTCTCCAGAAACTTTATCTAATTCTTTTTTGAATCCAGTTATACTTTTGGCCTTTACAGTATCCCCTGGCAATGACTTCCCCAGGTTGACTGTGTGGTGTGTGAAGAAGTACTTCCTTATGCTTTTTTAAACCTGCTGCCTGTTACTGACCCCGATTCTTGTGTTATGTGAAGGGGTGAATAACACGTCCGTATTTGCTTTCTCCACACCTTTCATGAGTTTCTAAACCTCTATCATACCTCCCCTCTGTCTCTTTTTTCCAAGCTGAACAGTCCCGTCTTTTTAATCTCCCCTCATATGGAAGCTTTCCATCCCCCTAATAATTTTTGTTGCCCTTCTGTGTACTTTTTCCAATTCTAATCTATCTTTTTTGAGATGGGATGACCATAAGTGCACGCAGTATTCAAAGTATGGGCATACCATGTTTTTATATATGGTGGTATTATGATATTTTTTGTCTTATTATCTATCCCTTTTCTGATGTTTCCCAACATTCTGTTAGGTTTTTTGACTGGTGCATATTGAACAGATGTTTTCAGAGAACTATCCACGATAACTCCAAGATTGCTTTCTTGTGTGGTAACAGCTAATTTAGACACCATCATTTTGTATGTATACTTGGAATTATGTCTTCCAGTGTGCATTACTTCGCATTTATCAACATTGAATATCATCTGCCATTTTGTTGCCCAGTCACCCAGTTTTGTGAGATCCCTTTGTAACTCTTTGCACTCTGCTTTGGACCGAACTGTCTGGAGTAATTTTGTATCATCTGAAAACTTTGCCAACTCACTGTTTACCTTTTTTTTCCCCTAATCATTTATGACTGTTAAACAGCACTAGTCCCAGTACACATCTTTGGGGGACCCTGCTGTTTATCTTTCTCCACTGTGAAAACTGATAATTTAGTCCTACTCTTTGTTTTCTATCTTTTAACGAGTCACTGATCCAGGAGAGGAACTTGCCTCTTTTTCCCATGACTGCTTACTTTGCTTAAGAGCCTTTGATGAGGGACCTTGTCAAAGGCTTTCTGAAAGTCGAAGTACACTGTGTGCACTAGATCACCCTTGTCCATATGTTTGTTGACCCCCTGAAAGAAGTCTAATAGATTGGTGAGGCATGATTTCCCTTTACAAAAGCTGTGTTGGGTGTTCCTCAACGTATCATGTTGATCTGTGTGTCTGATAATTCTGTTCTTTACTGTAGTTTCAACCATTTTGCTGGTACTGAAGTTAGGCTTACCAGACTGTAATTGCCAGGATTGCCTCTGGAACCTTTTTCAAAAATTGGTATCACATTAGTTCTCTGCCACTCATCTGGCACAGAGGCTGATTTAAATGATAGATTACATATCACAATTAGTAGTTCTGCAATTTCATATTTGAGTTCCCTCAGAAATCTGGTCCTGGTGACTTATTTCTGTTTAAAGTATCAGTTTGTTCCAAAACTTCCTCTACTGACACCTCAATCTGGGACAGTTCCTCAGATTTGTCATCTAAAAAAAATGGCTCAGGTGAGGGTATCTCCCTTACATCCTCTCCAGTGGAAACTGATGCAAAGAATTTGTTTAGCTTCTCCTCAATGACCTTGTCTTCCTTGAGTTCTCCTTTAGCACTCCAATTGTCCCGTGGCCCTGCTGATAGTTTGGCCAGCTTCCTGCTTCTGATGTACTTAAAAAAAATTTTTTTTTTTTTTACTTTTAGTTCTTGTCTTTTGCTAGTTGCTCTTCAAATTCTTTTTTGACCTGCCTAATTATGCTTGACCTGCCAGAATGTATGTTCCTTTGTTTTCTTCACTAGGATTTGACTTTCAGTTTTTAACGATGTCTTTTTGTCTTTAACCGGCTCTTTTACTCTGTTGTTTAGCCATGGTGGCTTTTTTCTGGTCCTCTTACTGTTTTTTGGGAGCGGGGATACTTTTAATTTGAGCCTCTATTATGGTGGGGGGGGGGTTAAATTCCATGCAGCTTCCACACATTTCACTTTTGTGACTGTTTCTTTTAATTTCCGTTTAACTAGCCTCCTCATTTTTGTGTAGTTCCCCTTTTTGAAGTTAAGTGCTACTGAGGTGGGTTTCTTAGGTATTTTCTCCCCTATAAGGATGCTAAATTTAATTACATTGTGATCGCTATTACCAAGTGGTTCAGCTGTATTCACCTCTTGGAACAGATCCTGTGCTCCACTTAGAACTAAATCAAGAATTGCCTCTCCCCTTGTGGGTTCCAGGACTAGCTGCTCCAAGAAGCAGTCAGTAATGGTGTCTAGAAATTTTCTCTCTTCATCCCATCCCGAGGTGACAAATACCCAGTCAATAAGGAGGTAATATTAATGGGGGATTTCAACTAAGTTTTCTGTTTTTATAGCCTCTGTAGTCTCCATGAGAACTTTCCTTATCTCTTTATTAATGGTTGCTGCTTTCTATGAAATGCATATGTTTGTTGTGATGCTGGTGTTCTTACACACTTCTTTTCTCTTCCCCCTCCTAGCGGGGTAAAGTTGGCTTGTGCCTCCTGTCTTTTTGCAACATCTGAAGGTGATGCAATGGCCAAGCATCTGGTCTTCAACCCATCACATGAGTTCAGTAACATCATTTTCCGAGGTAAGAGTTTGAGATGGAGCAGAAATGTCACATTATACTGTAGTGTAATAGTAATGTTGGGCATAATGCAATTATTTATAGACCATGGGCCAGATGCTTCCCTGGTGTATCTATTTGGGATGAATTTGGCCTAGTATTCCTCTAGCTTTCCATGCTATTTATATATAAAACATAGAGTAGATTCATAGATTAGGTCAGAAGGAACCATTGTGATCAGCTACTTTGACCTGCTGTATAACCCAGCCCATAGGACTTGTAGGTAGATGTGTAGTGTTGTGGACCCTTCATAACAGAATGAGAGAGTTTGTCTATTCTGGAGGTTTGAGGGGTTGGTTCCTTTTTTGGTAATAGTTACAGCTATATTGCTGTGGGCTGTGGAACTCATCCAGGGGCTGCATGAATGTTGTTAGTAAGTTACTCTTCCTCTGAGAGACTATTGAACCAGTGAGAGGCTAAGAGGCATTGTACTGCTGCTGAAGTTACAATTTTGGATGAGGCTTAAAACTTGTATCCTAGACGCTTGTCATTAAATATCCCTATTACATTTTGCTAAAGGAAGGTGTTACCTCCAGTGGCCTGGGCAAATTCCAATTTACTGGCCTATATCCAGCCTAACTATATTCCTCCTGTGACTTCAAATGAATACAGTATTTCTCTGCTGGTTTTAATGGTCATTGTCTAGTGTCACTGTGCATTGTTAGCTGCTGTGCATCAACCCAGAGGTCGCTGCGTTTCAGTGTTGGACACAGTGATTACTCTATGGGTATGAAATTATACATATAAAGTGTTTGCAAATTGTGTTGAGATCCTTCAGGATGACTGGCACTGTAGAGGTACAAGATCATCATCCTAGAAAAATGATTTTTGTTGTTGTTTGTCTTGCTGTTTGCAAACTAACCTCCAAATATTTCTTTTTTCAGGGCCCACTTGGATTTCACATTCAAGGTAAACTGTTTGACAGCTCTCATTTGCCAAATACTCTTCTAGTTTTTGTTCCCTGTTTTTGTTGTTCTTGTTTTAAGCTGGTTCTTTGTGTTCTCTCCCTTCAAGGCACAGCCAGCCCCATGACGGAATCATGAAGAATATATACTCCACCTATCCCCCAAGTAAAGCTGCTACTGTGAAATCAAAGCCTTCGTTACCTGAGAAGGATGAGTTGGAGCCTGAAGCAGTGCCAGAGGCATATAAGAGACCTGTAGTTAGTCAGGAGGAAGAGTGCTTAAATATTGATGATCAAGAAGAAGAACAGCCAGCAAAAGAGCCCGAACCTGTAAGCAAAAAGGAACAACTGTCTGTGAAAAAGCTTCGTGTTGTACTGTTTGCTTTGTGCTGCAACACTGAACAGGCAGCAGAGCACTTCAGGAATCCTCAGAGGCGTATCCGGCGCTGGCTGCGGAGGTTTCAAGCTTTCCAAGAAGATAACTTAGCATCTTTGTCAGAAGGCAAGTACCTCAGCTTGGAGGCTGAAGAGAAGCTAGCAGAGTGGGTCCTCACACAAAGAGAGCAGCAGCTGCCTGTGAATGAGGAAACTCTCTTTCAGAAGGCAACCAAGATTGGCCGGTCCCTTGAGGGAGGCTTCAAGATCTCCTACGAATGGGCAGTGAGGTTCATGCTCAGGCACAACCTCAGCATGCACACCCGCAGAGCGGTGGCTCACCCTCTCCCCAAAGACGTAGACGAAAATGCCAGCTGCTTCATTGAGTTTGTGCAGCGGCAGATCCACACCCAGGACCTGCCGCTGTCCATGATCGCAGCCATTGATGAGATCTCTCTTTTCCTTGATGTGGAGGTACTGAGCAGCGACGACAGGAAAGAGAATGCGTTGCAGACAGTGGGGACCGGGGAGCCCTGGTGCGACGTTGTCCTCGCTATCTTAGCTGATGGCAGCATTCTGCCAACACTAGTGTTCTACAGGGGTCACGTAGAGCAGCCTGCCAATGTGCCGGAGTCTATTATATTGGAAGCAAAGGAGAATGGGTACAGCGATGATGAAATCATGGAGCTGTGGTCTTCTAGAGTGTGGCAGAAGCACACGGAGTGCCAGAACAGCAAGGGCATGCTGGTGCTGGATTGCCACCGAACACATCTGTCTGAAGAGGTACTTTCCTTACTGAATGCATCCAGCACTCTGCCAGCCGTAGTCCCTGCTGGCTGCAGCTCCAAAATCCAACCCCTGGATGTGTGCATAAAAAGGACTGTGAAAAACTTCTTGCATAAAAAGTGGAAAGAGCAAGCCAAGGAAATGGCGGACTCCACATGCGACTCGGACATTCTCCTCCAGCTGGTTTTATGCTGGCTGGCGGAGGTTCTGGAAGTCATTGGCGACTGTCCTGAACTTGTGCAGCAGTCCTTCCTGGTGGCTAGCGTGCTGCCTGGCCCCGATGGCACGGCCAACTCTCCCACACGCAATGCTGACATGCAGGAGGAGCTGATCGCCTCTCTGGAGGAGCAGCTGAAGCTGAGCGATGAGCTGCAGGACGAAGAAGTTGGATTCCAGGATAGGACCCGTGCCGAAGAATCTACAGACCCAGAAATCCTCCACCAGCTCTTTGAAGGGGAAAGCGAGACTGAATCCTTCTATGGCTTTGAAGATGCTGATTTGGATCTGATGGAAATCTGAGCACTAATCTGAGAATCATGATCCAGAAAGGGTTATTTTTTAAATAAATGTTGGATGAGACCATTACACTTCCCTGTGGATTTGTGGGATTAGGAAATTTGTAGGTGATCACTCAGATTAATAGCCATTTATGCTGTTCATTTATAAGTTTTGTGCTTTTTTTAAAAAAAAAAAAGAAAGAAATCACTGTGTTGGTATTTTCTGACGCTATATTGTGGGTGAATATTTTTGCGTTTTCTTTACCTCACTGTATCATAGTTTTCTGTTTTATTGTGCAAAAATGTTTTGAATTATACTACATCGTCAATGTGACCATTTCTAAAGAAAGGAAAAAAAAATATGTAGCTAATGAACCAGTATATAAATCTTTTGGTTGTCTTAACACAGATTTTTTTTTATTTTTTTTTTAACATTTGACCCAGAGATTTAGGTTTCTGTAGTAACTTTAGATATGAATTATTGCTTTAATGTGTGAAACCTTCTATTATTGGCCATTGAGATTTGGGTTTTTGTTTCTTTTTAAAAAAAGAAAAAGAAGAGCAATGACTTTGCTTGTGAATCTTGACACGGGGTAAAACACGGGGATAGAATTTTGCCTGTTCAATGCCAGCAACGGTTCTTAGGAGCCATTAGTATTTGAACTGGGGTTGAACTGAGATCTATATTTAGGGAGTTAGGTGCAGTGTTAAAGCCAGCCTCTCGTTTTTGAGTAGACTTCATGACAACTGGAGGACACTGTGTGGGATGGTTTCATTCCTCCACCCAGGAAACCATCTGACACCCACCCACCTTGCTCCAAAGAATTACTGACAGAGGGTACATGACGGAAGAGACAAGCCAAGCCTGTCTTGATCTTCCTGTACAATAGATGGGAGCTAAAACTATATGGACCATTAAACAACCTTTTTAAACTACTAGTAGTTGATAAACCTGCTTTAACCAGTGGCATCAGACACTACGTTCCTTAGAATTAGAAAATCTGATTTAATGAAACAAACTGTGATGTGCACAAAAGGAAGACATTTGTTTTTATTTTTCACTGCCAACTTAAATTTTTCTATAATTTGCATGTTTGAGGGTTTTTTAATTGTATGTATTATGGTATAAACTGAAAGCATTTTGACATACAAAAATCAGAAGCACCTGCACCTTTCTGTTTCCATAGAGGTTTTTGAGAACCTTCCCTATTACCCAAGGAAAGCAGGAGGCAGCATGTGCAGACCTGTAAATGGTTCATCTTTAAAGTGTACATAAGTGGAACATTTAATAAAACCAGGGAAATGGATTTATAAACATGTGTTTTTATTATGGAGAAGTATTTAGCTCTTGTGAATTTGATAGAAAAGTACATATTATCCTAAATTAATTCTCTTGCTCCTCTGAACTCTGCAAAAAATGTGAAGCTGATGAAGTTTTTTGTTTGACATGACCAATTCCTGATTTGATTCAATTTGTACACAAATCCCCTGCTTGGGAAGGGACTCAGTAGCTCACTGTGTCTGGAAAAAAAGCCAGAGATGGGATAGTAATGAAATGGGTTTACGTGTAGTTAACACTTAAGAGCCTGATTCTGCCCTCACTTGTACCTTGCAGCCCTCCACAAAATCAATGTGACTTTAGCAGAGTTTGGCTTCTAACTGCCATATATTAACTACAGTAGGTAAGTGGGACAGCCTGTTGTCCTGACTTTGAGGGGTTTTTTTTTTTAAGTCTGAAAAGCATAAATCATACGTATTTATAGTCTACTGTAAAAACATTCATTGCATTTCATCTTTATTTGGCAACCTCTACATTCTTAAACTACAGCTTAAAGTTTTTAAGTTGTTTACCTCATAAATGCTGATAAATGGACCCTATTTAAATGAAACTTAAGCAGCAGTCGTGAATTATAATTACAAGAGTAAATCAGTTGCAAAGAGGCCCAGTTTAAGCAGACTATTCAGTATTTTAGCTACATGTAGCTGCATTCTTTACTATCCTCCTAATGTATTAGTTGGATAGACACATGACCTGCGATCCCAAAAAAGTGGAGGCATCTCATCTCTAAGTCCTTGTATGATGTGTCTTAAGACCATGCGTGCTATGGGCAGTTCTTTGTATGATGTTCATACCAAGTTATCCTACTGTCTCCTACTATTATGATGAGGCCCTTTGATTACAGAACTCTTAAAATTCCTAATTTTAAATGGTTTTAGTTCATTCACTGTAATCACTGTTGAGGTGAGGTTCTCTTTCAAGGGCTTCATCCAAGTCCCTTTAGAATTTGATGTTAGCAGGACCTCTTGTTAGACCAGTGAATGGTAAGAGCTGTAAGACTGTCCAAGACCAGCCATATACAGAATCATTTGTGAAAGTATAAATGTGTCAGACCATCTATTTAACTGAATGAACTGGTATTTTAATTCGTTGGAGGCAATATCTTTTTTTCCTTAAGACAGCTATAAGCTAAAGAGCAAAGGTTTTGTTTTTACTATTTACAAAGGTCAGTAAAGCATTAGGCCTGTGACCAGAGCACAGGCTGGGAGCTAGCAACTCAAGTTCTAATCCTGGCTCTGCGCTGATATTATGTAGCCCCGGCCAAGTCACTGGAGTCTAAAGTTAGGCATCCGAGTCCCTGCTCAATTTTAGGCACCTAAGTTTGAAAATTTGAAATCCTTAACCTCTTGGTATCAAGTTTTTCCAATCTGCACCATGGAGAAGATATTGAAGTACTTTCCTCACAGGACATTGGACTACTTAATATGTTTTAAGTACAAGCCTGCTCATAAAACACTCATTTGTGAGTAAGTCTTTGCAAGTATAATTTTCTTGCGTAGTGCTTAAATATGGGGACAATAGGCACACTAGTCAACACTTGCAGTCATGTTGATTTTTTTTTTCCCCTCCAGACTTACTTGTGAGGAAAGGTTGGAGCCCTGTGTTGTTATCTAGCTGGTGTAGTTTAGTACTTGCTCCATATGGTGTTATTAAAAATTGGTTTCAGAGTAGCAGCCGTGTTAGTCTGTATCCGCAAAAAGAACAGGAGTACTTGTGGCACCTTAGAGACTAACAAATTTATTTGAGCATAAGCTTTCGTGGGCTAAAACCCACTTCATCTGATGCATGCAGTGGAAAATACAGTAGGAAGATATACACACAGAGAACATGAAACAATGGGTGTTACCATACACACTATAACGAGAGCGATCAGTTAAGGTGAGCTATTACCAGCAGGAGAGGAAAAAAAACCTTTGTAGTGGTAATCAAAATGGCCCATTTCCAGCAGTTAACAAGAAGGTGTAAGGAACCGTAGGGAGGGGCAGGAGATAAAAATGGGGAAATAGTTTTACTTTGTGTAACGCACCTGGTATTGGATTAAAAGGTAAGCTAAAAGTTTTTACCCATCATGATACAAATTCATGACCCGTTTCTCCAACAGTTGTTGGTATTCCAGGCTGCCCATGTTGTTTGAGTGGTTGTCACACCTCTACTAAATGTTGATGTTTTTCTGAAATGCATTTCAGTTTAGCTTCAAGGTAAATTGAGAGACTGAGGCCTACAACCAGGTAGCTCTTAATTTTGCCAGGCTTACAGTCATGCCAAGTCATCCCAAACTGCTGGATGCTACACTAAAGCTTTGCAGAGTGCTTACTTAAGTTGTGAAACTGAGCACGTGGGAAGCAAAGAGACTGCATCTCAAAACATTTTTATTTTCCCAAGTGTCAGTTTTTATTAATACTTCAGCTATTAGCATGTAACAGGTTGTGTAAATGCAATGCTGGCCTAGTAAGATCTCTTTACAGCTGCTAAACTCTTGTGGAGCATGGTGGGCAGGAAGGGGAGAACACTGCACTTTTAGGTTAGAATGACCAGTCTTGGGAATAAGTGATGTAACAGTGACGTTTTGCTCTGTATCACCTCAAGGTGTTAAATAATGTTACTGAATTGCCAGATACTGGAATAGGATATCATCAAACCTAGTTCCATAGTAAATAAGCAGGAAACTCTGGAGATCAGCAGCTCCAGAGCAAAACAGATGAGGTAACACTGTTTATAACAGTGTTAACTCATCTGAAATGAAGAGGGTTCCTGTTGCAAGGGCCGATGAACTTGGCAAGTAAGTCATATTTTCACATGCATTATAACAACCTGAAGCTTTTGTCTTCAGCATGTCTCCATCTAAGCACAGACCCTGTACAATTAAAAGCATCCTGCTCAGCCAGTACAGGAACCTATAGAGCAAACTTTGGTCACCGACCATGAACCATGCTGTCAGTCACTGAAAGGGCAGCAGCAGGTCTGCCTACCTCAATTCAAGTTTGCAACTCCAGTCTTCCACTTCTTCTGGATATTCCAAATGTTGTGATGGCTTTGAAAGAGATTTCTGTACGTGGGAGGAGTGCAATGCCCTCTACAAGGAAATTAAATGGATGCAAAATAGAGTTGCCTGCTTACAGTATTCCCTGCTGAGGGTATGGTAAACATGCCCACAATTTAAGATGGTTTAGGTAATATCCCTGAACAGTCCTATGTGGGCTGAGTACATTCCATGATCTATTTCCAGAAGTGTGTTTACTATTTTAAGTTAATCTGTACGTACAGTGAGATCACTGGATAAAAGCACTTTCTAAGCATAGAGGGAGTAGTGCGTGGCCTGTACTGACAGAAGCAGGACCAGTGCAAGACAAGATGTCCAACTGCTAGACTTAAAGGCCAGTAAGGGGTGTGTAGAGTAGGAGACCCCACTGTTGTCCATCCCTCATCTGTTTCTGCATTAGAGGGTCTATATAGCATCCATGCTGCAGCTATGATTAAGAGAATGTCTTATAATAAATATGCTATGCTTATAGGACAGAACAGGTACAGCCTTCTATCAACGAAGGTGAAGTCATAGCCAGGCCCCTGACAATTGTGAAAGGTAAGTTTGCCAGCACAAACCGGATGCTCCATTAAATCCTGGCCTCTTCCAGAAGAGGCTCATATACATCTGTACTTACCACCAACCATTAAAAGTAGTTAATTTCACAACAGAGGAACATCTGACTCCCTGTGAACCTCAAATGCTCTGACCCTTTGCTTCTGACTCTTAGTTACTTGTTCAGTAAAGCTAAAAATGAGACTTTTCTTCTGGTACACCACCAGTTTTAGATGTCCCATGCAGAGTACGTTTTCAAGCTTAAACACCATAAACATGCAAACTTGTTTCAACATATTTATTTCATTTACAAAACTTGTATAACTCAGGGTCACTCAGAGCTCTAAGCTCCAGTACACCGTGCATATGAAAGGCGATATGGATACACCAGCGTCAAGCAATTCTTCAGATTTCATTCAAAGCCCCTGTAAAGAGATTTTAAAAAGTCAGGTTGTTTGAAGACAAGCAGAACACACAAACCAGAGTCAACATCAGTAAGCTGGAAAAACCGATTTGGGTATTTTAGGTGTTATACACAGTGCTTGGTAAAAGGCAGTTGCCAAGACAAGTGGAAAACTGGTGAACAGGTAAGTCAGCAGCCTCTCTCTTCCCTAGGGACCTTTGTCTAGGAATGGCTTCAAAACCTGGCCATAGAAACAAAGCAACCCGGTCCAAGATTTAGCCAACCTCAAATACCTTAGAAGCTATCCCTTGGTGCAGAAAAGAGCGTTTTCTAGAAGAAATGCTTTCCCCCTCCTGGCCAGAACTATACATTCGTGCACCCAGGTTCACCCACGTTATTGCACCAAGCAGGAATATTGTTCCAAGAGCAGAGCAACACAACTAAATGCCCCCTTTTTTTTTTTTTTTTTTAAAGTTAATCTACAAAACCCCCACCCCATGAGGGCCAGAGGGAGGCTCAACTCCCCAGGGCAGTTAGAAGCTTGAGGGCAGAAGCTGGCCTTAAGTTACAAGACGTGTCAGTTTGAGTGTTCAGTGAAGTGTACAACTTTTGGCAAGTTACCGGATAAGATGTGCTATGTCCCAGTTGGTTTCTACGGACAGAGGTCCTTCCACTTCAACTCCTTTCTCGGTCACGATGGCAAGTTCGTACTAAGGAGGAGATCAACAATTAGAAGTGCCAGTAAAGCCTGACTAATGCAAATGAAATCTGAGATTGCTAGTGCTTTGACATGGGGTAAATAATAGTTTATGACCAAATAATGAATATCTGAAGCTCACCTTTCACTGAAAAAATTGTTAGGGTTAACTTAATTTGCTTTAACATAACTACTCAGTTAGCTTCACCTTCAATTACCTTTACCTTTTGCCCAACGAAAGGAGGGGTCATACACAGCTAACTGAAGGACTAGGCTGAGCCCTGACACTCC